AGATCTTACAGAGCATACTGTTTATTGCTCATCCAGTATCCATTCCTCTCTCTTCCCATTCTAACAGTTGTACCTTTCTCCACCATGTAGCCCAGATGCTTTAGGCTGAGGCGAACCTAAATTCTGGCTCTAAGAGTAGGCCTGGCAAAGGGGCAATCCCCTTGACCCTGTTGCAGGCATGAGTTCAGAAGTTCAGGCCTAGGCTCATTGTCCCATTTAATTCTCTGGCTGTACGGTTTGATTTAGGAATTGACTTATGATGGAATTTGCACATGTGGGACAAAGAGAAGTTTTAAGCGGCTTCTGAAAAATAACTCACTTTTCAAGAGAGCTAATAGAAGAATCACCCACTTTTCTTTGTATTTCAAATGGCATATAGGTGTAAAACAAGGAAATGACACAGACTCTTTATATCAGTCCAGGTTTAGGTAGGAAAAAATGAACTACTATAGATAGTTCAAACAAATAGAATTTCATACAGGAAACTGATTGCTCAAGTGTTTGAAAGACTGAGAGATAAAAAGAGAAAATGCAGCAAACCAAAAATAAGCAACTTCAGGAAACATCTATAGGGCCAGGGCATGGAAAATAAGGGAAGAGAGAGTTTTATTTAAGCTAGGTCTGTGCTGTTGTGGTGTTACCAAGGAGGAACTATCTAAGTCAGTGCTGGAACCATGAAAGTCACGGACACCACTGCTGAAACCAGGGTCCTAGGAGGAGTTCATCTATTTCTAGAGGTACTGTCAGAAAGAAAAAGAGAGATGTAATAATAGTGTCTCCTCTCTTCCTGTGTTCTGATCTTTTCCCAGTGTCTCCTACTGGCATAATTTAAGAGAGGCCAGAAATGGAACCTGACAAATTTAACATATAGCCTCCCCAACCACAGAACTCTAAAGAATGCTGTGTAAGAGGTTGAAAGAAAGTGGGCAAATAATCAACACATTCACCTTTTGTTTATTCAGTATCTATATACATCCTTCTTACTACCTTAAATTTTAATACAACAACAATGGCAGTGATGTGATGCAACTTATCTAGATACAACTATACTTTGCATAATGAAAGATACTCTCTTCTTTCCCCCAAAATGGAGTATACAAAATCTTATGAGTTTTCATTCAAAGTCACAAGTCCACTATAATATTCTATCCCCCAAACATTACATTGTAATAGCCACTATTATTACTTCTTATATTAAAAAAAAAAGAAATTAGTTAACATTTAAAAGTACACACACACACACACACACACACAATGTTCTAGAACTCATATATGATCAACTTCCTTTATCTGCTACTCATTCCATGTTTATTTTGGTCCCAGCCAGGATCTCAGTGAATATAGTCCATTACCTACTGAGGATGAGCCAAATCTTCATTCCTAAGGTGGACTGCTTAATGCAGAAGATTTTTTGATTTGTCTAAACCTCTATTAATTTTTTTCTGTAGAATACTAAAATACTTAGTGGCACTCCAGGAAACCTCCTTGGTTCCAGACATATTTCTGCCTACATACACTATAGAGCAGCAACCCAACTTCCCTTGGTAATTAGAATCAATCACTCCATAAATCATAGTAACCCATTATTTGTCTGTTGTTTCAATGCAATATGGAGCCCACAATGACCAGGTGGCAAACTTAACATCCATTTCAATGAAAGAATTATGTCTCCTGGTTACAACAGTATTCATTATGGAAATAAGAACTCTGAACCAGGAGAGCCCAAAGTTGTATGCATGGGAAAAAATAGTGAGTAATTCATTTCTCTTCTTAATTTTTAGATTAAGGGTAAAACAGTATCATATAGTATCTAGTAGAAGCTGATACTACATGGTATAGGAAAACACCCAAAATGTTAAACTAGTTTTTCTCAGCTGGTATGCATCTAATACTTCAGGAGGAAATTCTATGTGTCTGTCAAAGCAGCTACTTTTGAGTCAAAAAGTATATAGTAAGATCCATGAATTATACGGCCCTATTGCTGTCCTTCTTTTGCTTTGTAGTAAGTTCTTTGGTCAGAAGCAATATCTTGATGGTGAATAAGGGACCCCAAAGTCTCCTGATGTTGGTGCTAGAAGAGGCAGTGGAGTAGGAAAAGCAAATTCAATATCCAGAATGAATACAAAAATCATTTACTGTTTCAAGCTGGAAAAAGTCCAAAGCAATCAATCTAATACCAGGTGGCTGCCTGGACTCTCCAAGGAACAGTGCCAATCAGGGTCTAAATCTGACCTCTGTTGTTGACTCCTGTGCACTCAGCAAGGATGGTAGTCAAATACCTTTGGTAAGGGAAGGTCTATATTGTCGAGGTTTTTGAAGAATTTCTGTGATACTCTGCACATGAACGCATGAATTAAGCACTGATAGAGAGGCTAGGAAATTGTTGTCTAGATGATATGTATCATCCAGGTCCTCTTGTATGTCTGTTCACTCAGAGTAAAGCACTGCTGCTTGGCTTCTGTCATTCAGGAATCTCATCATTTCCTCTGAAATCAGGGAGCCTATTTCAAAGTTGGCCCCTTGGAATGTCATCCCCAGCCAATAAAAGAAAGCTACCACAAAATTCATTTTATTTAACTTTATTATGTATAATTCCAAAAATACATAAAATGAGGAATAGTGTAATTAATCCACTGTTGCCTATCACTCAGCTTTGACAATTATTAGTTCCTTACCAATATTCTTCAATCTATATTTGTATTGACCCACTGAATCAGTATTTTTGAATATTTTGGTACTTCCCTCACTAATTTATTTCTCAATGTCTGAATGAAGGGAGTATTACCTAGACTCATCTGGGGGCCATACTGAGAGATGACCAAGTTGCAAATAATAAATACGCTATGTTATTTCTACCTTCCTAAATCTTGAAATATTTCTTCATTATGCCAGGGCAGTTGTATACACTCAATATCATTGAATATAGGCCACATTATACGCTGATGTCCTCACAGCTGAACCACTCCTATCTGCTTAAGATAGCACATTGAATACAGAATCTCTTTAAACTGTCCTTTGTTCCAAAATCCTTAGAGACCATCCTACACATATTCCCCAAGTTTAAGTTAATGTGAGTAAAAAATAATATTCTTACAATTATTTTTTATGTATAAGTCATACACCCATGGATAAGATGTTATACTTGTCTCCTGATGTATGCTAAAATCTGACTCAAATTGCAGGGTCAAAGGCAAGGAGGCATGGGGGAGATCTGTCTTAAAAATCGGCATCCACTGGGGAAAGCAATTTCCTTATGGAAGGTTACTACAGGGTCTCCAAACAGTCAAAGAGTAATAGCCATCAATATGGATAATTATTTCTGCTAACAACGGAAGTTCAAGGAAATTTGTGGTTTCAAGATACTCAGATTGATCCACATCTACCAAGATGTGCCTATGTCAAACTTGAGAGTTCAGTTCTTTCTAGTAAATCCTCTAAATTTCACACAAGATAATGTGTTTTAATTTTCACAGAAGATACTTGGGCCACGGATTCAACTTACATAATAATTCTGGAATTTTCACTTTTAAATTTGAGATGGGATTTGGAATCTCCCCTACAGCTATAATAAATGAGAGATTATTTTAGGAACACAATAAAATCTCCATGACTCCTTGACTTGCCTAGAACTAAGAGATTAAAGCCCTGGGCTTATCAATTTCTTTCAAAAAGTAATCAAATGCAGTCTACAAAAAAAAAAAAAAAAAAAAATCTTGCCCCCAGCATTTGTAGTCGTCATCACTACTATAGCAGTTGAATATATTAACTACTTGGTTTCCCAGACTGTTGCCTTCAGTAAGCCTTTCATTTGAAGCAGTAGTCAATAACAATCTGGTAAATGGGATACCACTGTATGTCATGGATTAGCAGTAACCCATTTTCACCTGGTCCTAAGGCCAGCTTTATTTTCAAAATCTTTAAGCTACATAACCCAAGAATCCTTTTATTGAAGTCTGTTTTTCTGGAACCTGAAACACCCAAAATCATTCTAATGGTTTCAAACAATGACAATATTATATATTAGAAAGTCTGAGAAAAATAAAAAAGGGATGAAGATGAGGTGTATCAGAGATTAGTAATTGCTGTCATTGGCTACTTAATCTAGTTCTTGGAGAATAAAAGAAATAAGATGGAAAAAATGATATAATGAGTCTAGAAGAACATACATTGCTTCCCTGCTAGGGTGATGTCGAGATATGCTAACACCATGGAATAGGGACGTGAAGCTTGTGCTAGACCATAGAAGAGGAACCCGTGAAGCTGGATTGCAGATAGATAAAAAGGATACAGTTGCTCAAAAATACTGCCAGAAGAAGAGCAAGAGAGAAGAATCATTTCTGTATTCCTCCATTTGATGCTCTACTGGTGTCATTTGTTGGAAGAATTTAGTAGATATCAGCTAGGCAGGAAGGCTAAGGAATGCACTTTGCGGTCTTCTGTACCCAGAATTTCAGAGCAGAGAAGCTGTGAGGTGAGAAGCAATAGGGAAATACACTATGTGGGCAATAAAATTTCTTTTTGTGTATAAGTCATTTCTGTGTATTTCTGTATTTAAGTCATTTCATTTTGGGCAAGAAAGATTTTGGGTTTGTCACCCTCCCCCCAAGTTAAATATAAAAATCTGACTCATTTGTTAAGTACCTATATATAAGAAATATTTATATTCCTTAGAAAGTGTGGCAAATAAGAATAATATTGATACTAGAAATGGAGACAAGATGAAAAGCAAATAACAAATAAATACGCAATATAATTTTCAGTGTTGATAAAAGCTATGAAGAAAAGTAAAGTGTGGTTAAGAGGTAGAGAGAAATAGGAATTGGTAGAGCCACTTATCAGGGGTATTTGGGAATTTCTAAGAAGGCGATGGATGAACACAGATGTGAAAAACTATATGAGTGTGATGGTTAATTTTATGTGCCAACATGTGTTTTTGGAAAAGATTAATATTTAAATCAGTAAACTTTTAGTAAAAAGATTACCCTTCATAATGTGGGAAGGCCTCATCCAATCAATTGAAGGACTGAATAGAATAAGAAGACCAGATTCCCAAACAAAGAAGGAATTATCTACTAGGTGCCTTCAGATTTCATCTGCAGCAGTGGCTCTCCAGACTGCTGGCCCACACTACAGATTTTGCCCACCTTCATAATCATGTAAGCCAATTTATTGTAATAGATATAGATACAGATACATTTCTTTATGATACATAAATATGTATATATATTTTATTATTACATACAATATATAGAGAAATGCTTTTAAAATAGACAGAAATAATAGTCTAAATAAATAAATAAATAATCTTTTGACTCTGTATCCCTGGGGAACCCTTCTGATTCAGTGAGTGGTACTTGCCAAGGCTCTATGTAGGAGCACTCTGGGCATAAGTAGCAAATATCAAGGTCCTGAGGTAAGACCAAGCTTGTAGCATTGAAGGAACATTGAAATGGAATAGTGGTAGTATTAGTGGATAGGAGTTCAGTAAGGTAGAGAAGAGCAATAGCAGACAGGGCAGGAAAGATCTAGATGGGCCATATTACAAATATCTGAGGTTATGGGAAGAATTGAGGATTTTATTTTTATTTTGGTAAGAAACTATTGAAGTGGTTTGGTCAGATAAGTGACACATTTGATTTTAATTTTTTTTTTTTTTTTTACAAATAGTTTATTGTCAAATTAGTTTCCACATAACACCCAGTGTTCATCCCCACAAGTGTCCTCCTTTTAATTTTCAAAAGATCACCGTAATTGCTATAGAGAGAACTGAGTCAGAGGATGCACTCAGAAGGACACACAAGATGACATGATATTGTATCAATGTAAGCAATATATGGTGGCTTTGTGAAACCTATCCTGCCTGTTGACTTTGAGCTATGTGATCTGATTTCTTTTGTTGCTATTGTTTAAGACAGTTTGAGCTGAGTTTTCTACTTTGTAGATATCATGATCCTAGCTGATGCAAAATTTGGTATCAAGTGTATGGTGCTGAATCAAGGTAAAAGGAGGGCAGTGAAAAGAATCCCTCCCTCTGGGACTAGGAAGTTGGTGATCTTTGTTAAGCAGTTATACAAGAGATGACTAAAATGACATCCCTTAGGATGATTCCATTAGGAAACAACCATGTACTTACAGAGGGTGAAATATAGGGTGACTGACCTAAAAAGATGCTTAATATCACTCATCATCAGGGAACTATAAATCAAAACTATGATGAGATACCACCTCACACTTGTCAAGATGGCTAAAATTAACAATATAAGAAACAACAGGTGTTGGTGATGATGTGGAGAAAAGGGAACCCTCCTGCACTCCTGGTGGCAAAGAAGGAACTGGTGCCACAATTATGGAAAACAGTATGGAGGTTCCTCAAAAAAAACAAGAACAATCCAACAATTTCACTATTAGGTATTCACCCAAAGGATAAAAGAAATACAGATTTGAAGGGGTATATTTACCCCAATGTTTATAGCAGCATTATCAGTAATAGCCAAACTATGGACAGAGTTCAAATGTCCATTGACTAATGAATGGATAAAGATGTGGTATATCTAGATCTAGATATAAACATAGATATATAGATATAGCCATAGATATAGATATTATTAAGCCATCAAAAGAATGAAATCTTGCCAATGACATGGATTGAGCTATAATGTATTATGCTAAGTAAAGTAAGTCAATCAGAGAAAGACAAATATATGATTTTAGTCACATGTGTGATTTAAGAAACAAAACAGATGAACATGTGGGAAATGGCAGGGAGAGAAGAAAGGAAAACAAGCACAAGAGATTCTTAACAAGATCCTTAGAGAAAAGAACAGAAGGTTGATGGTCAAAGGGAGATAGGTGGAAGGTGGGCTAGATGGGTGATGGGGAAGGTACTTATTGTGATGAGCACTGAGTGTTGTATATAAGTGATGAATCACTGAATTCTACTTCTGAAATCAACATTACACTGTATGTTAACTAATTAAAATTTAAATTAAAAAGAAAAAGAAAAGGAAATATAGGGTGACTGAGAAAAAGATCAGACTGTCAAAGTTGGATTGTCTTCTAGCCTTTGGTGATGTCTACAAGAAAGATAGAAAATGGCTCATTTAAAATTAAAGTTTTTGAAAATAGGGAAGAAAAGGAATGGAAGAAAATATCATTTTTTCTATTTACAGAGTGAAATCCAAGTTATTTCAAACCCACTTAATATGGAGTTTGATAGGTTTGGGAATGCCCAGTCTCTACCCCTAAGTTAAAATATTTGCTAACAGAGCAGTGCATTGAGAGGCCTAGAAGATAACAAGACTGAGAAAAGATGACCCTAACTCCTCAAACCTCTGTCAAGAAAATTTTGCTAAGCCAGTTTCAACTGATTATGTGGTTAATAATGCCATAGAGAAGGTGTGGATGAGATTTAAACTAGGGTAATTATGAAAGTTTTGGTTCCCTTTCACCTATTTTTTTATTAATTGTTCTGAGGTAGAGGTCAGAATGAAGGTGTTATTCAATTTCCAAGGGAACTGACAGTGCACAGAAGCTTGTTGCTAAGAGAATGAAATGATCAGGGTCAGACTCTGACCAGAATTACTATGTGTGCTTACAAATTTTTGGAAGCACAACTCAAAAACTATTAACTTTTTTAAGAGAAATTTAAGGCAAAAAAAAAAAAAATCCATACTCCACTAAATACTCAGGTCTTTGATTGCTCAAATCCAACACAATCTCCAGACCCTCAAATTGGTACCAGTTGAGACTGGACTGCAAATGTCACACCATCACTAGAAAGGACAAACTCTCCAATGTCCATTTTAAATATGATAATGGAGGAAAATGGAACACCCCCCCCCCTCCCCGGGAAAAAACATGCTAAAAGCAAAACTGGGTATGGGGCATCTGGATCAGTCACTTAAGTGACTGACTTTGGCTCAGGTCATCATGATCTCATGGTCTGCGTGGTCCATGGGTTCGAGCTCTGTGTCAGGCTCTGTGCTGACAGCTCAGAGCCTGAAGCTTGCTTTGGATCCTGTGTCTCCCTCTCTCTCTCTGCCCCTCCCCCACTTGTGCTCTCTCTCTCTCTCTCTCTCTCAAAAATAAATAAGCATTAAAAAATAAATAAATAAAATAAAAGTAGAACTGGGCAATGTGAATTTTGCTGACCAAGGATCTCATTTCTCTTGCAGACCAAGGGATACTTGATATTCCGATCCAAGTGGACACGATATGTACTATCACTCTGTGATCCTAGTATTTCTTATCCCATTCATCCCCTCTCTCAGTGGAAGTTTATTTGTTGTTGTTGTTTGTTTATTTGACTAATGGCATCCAGTTCCATTACCACCACAATATGCTGGTATAGGTACTATAAAAAAAATAGCTACATCTGGACCTGAGGGAAGAGAATGGATGAAACTTCAGTTTGTCTCCTTTGGACACGGACTCTCTGACAAGTGCATAGATATATGTTGTGTTCGCTTCAGCAGCACATCTACTAAAGAGGAAGGATATATGTGAAGCTTTGGTGATTAAAACATTTAATTGTTAATACTCTTCAATGCTTACTCTTCATCAGTCTCCTCCTCTCTCTTCCTAACAGTATAACTATTTTCATTCAGATGTCCATCTCTCCCCTATATAATCCTGTGATCAGGGGACATTTTCCATCCCAAATTCCAGTTATCAGCAAAAGAATGATTTGTATTCTCTTCCTGTCACAATTGATTTAAGTACCTAGACATAATAACAAAGATGTGGTATTCCTCTAGGCATATTTTTGTTTCTTTAAAGAAATTGCCATGTGTCTCAATTCAGGCCATGGTAACAAGTGAAGGTTTGCTGGGTGTTTTGGAGAAGTTTTTCCAACTTTTAAGTCCCGATTTTCGACTAATGGATATCATGGTAGGTAGAGGTAAAACCAGGACTGCCACAGCAATTTTGCCACTATGATGAGTACATTCTTGGGACAAAGTCAAAGTAAAAAGGCAAACATAGTTTAAGGAGCTAGAAAAACAGCAGCAACACAAAACTGGGGCCACTGTATGAGCCTGCTCCATACTGCAGTTTTATATAAGCCAATACAATTCTTTATTCTTTTGGAAAGTTTGGAGTAGATTTTCTGTCTTGTATCCAAATTCATCCTGACAATGGAATACAAAATTAAGAATCAGATGAAATCCAAATCCAGATAATAAACTTGATTCCTGAAGGAGGTGTGGCCTGAAATGAAACTGAAAAGAAAATAGTACTTTGCCAAAGATAAGGGAGAAGAACTGTGGGACACAAATGTTATTCATGGTACCATAGTACCTTTATTTAGTGTGAGGTCTCCTAGTGGAACACAGCCTAACTCCACATCAGTAAGAAAAGAATTAGTGGTCACAGGTATGCCTAGGTTAACTTCAGAACATTGAAGGAAGTGTGTTTACATGACACTGAGAAATTTAAAGTCATACAAAGTTTAGTTGATATCATCTGATGTAACATCATTCTGTACAGAGCAGAGAGCTAGAAGGACATAGAACTTACAACCTTTTGGTGATTCTGGATGATAGGTGCTATAGAAGGTGGGTACCAGCACAAACAAATGCTAGGAGCAGTTGGGTCAATATCCACATGGCAACAAATACAGCAATATGATAAGCCCAGAACTAAGGACACAAAATCAAAAGCCAAGGGGTAACTGAAGCAATAAAGCCAGAAATGCATAAGATGATAAATGGCAAGTAGTAACTGACATCAGCCATAGTGTTGGAGGAACAGAGGTGTTGGGGGCTGTGCTGAGAAAACACACAGCCCATTTAAGGACGTTGCTGCTCCTCAGCTCATTCAGAGTCCTTTCCTGAAGGACTATGTGCTAACATTACCAAAGCTTCCAATCTATGACACACTCTGGAACTCCAGATTTTAGAAGAAACCTCCTTATTTTACAATGCTGACTACTAGAGGTGCCTGGGTGGCTCAGTCCCTTCAGCATCTGACTCTTGATTTTGGCTCAGGTCATGATCTCATGGTTTGTGAGATAGAGCCCCGCATGAGGCTTCAGGCTCTGGGCTGACACCACAGAGGCTACTTGGGATTCTCTCTCTATTTCTCTCTCTGCCACTCCTCCCCTTTCTCTCTCAAAAATAAATAAACCTTAAAAAACAATAAATTGTTTATAACTAACTCAAGTCTAAAACACTGTGTAGGCCTACAATAGACAGGCCCCCCAAAATACACAAAAAACAAAATCCACAAAAACTCTAACATATGGGAATGTTGAATTGGAACCTAAAGCCGTTAGTTTCCCACATATGTCTAATGGGGAATTTTTAGGAACTAATATTTCTCTTGGTAAAGAGACTCTTTTTGAAGTTTGGCAGTTCCTACAGTTTCACTTATTTCTTCTTTGTTGCTGTTACACTCAAGAAGATTTAAGTTTAATAATTTTCCTTAAAAATGTCAAAATGCTCAGTTGGAGGGCACCTGACTGGCTCAGTCAGGAGAGCATGCAACTATTCATCTTGGGGTCTTGAGTTTGAGGTCCACATTGCATATAGAGATTACTTAAAAATAAAATGTTTATTAAAATGTCATATAAAATTTGAACCATTATTATAAAATTGTATCTCCTTCCATATTTATATATATGATATATAAAAAGGAAGATAAAGCTAAAAAAAATAGGTCTTTAAGAATATATATATATATATATATATATATATATATATATATATATATATATGAGTCTGGGCTCAACCAAAATCAGAAGGAGAAATAGTAGTGTACCAATATATGAAAAATTAGTCAAAGAATATACCTTTAAAATATCTTTTCTGTATTGGAAAGTTTTCATCTTTCCAACTTTCAAAAAACTTTTTTAGGGGCACCTGGGTGGCTCAGTTGGTTAAGCTTCTGACTTTGGCTCTGGTCATGATCTCAAAGTTTGTGGGTTTGAGCCCCACGTCCGGCTCTGTGCTGACAGCTAGCTCAGAGCCTGGAGCCTATTTCAGATTCTCACTGAATCTGACCCTCACCTGTACATGCTGTCTCTGTCTCTCAGAAATGAATAAAAAACATTAAAAAATTAAAAAAAATTTTTTTTTACTTTTAAAGTATCCATTCTCTGATGACCCATTGTTTAAGGACATAGTATCCATTTAGAAAATCAGAATATTTTTAGACTTTTCTACATTGATATAAAATGATTGATCAAAAAATGAAAAATTTGTATATTAAATATAAAACTATAAATTCCAAAGCTTACAGATGCAGACAATGTGCTAAACTCAGTTGATTTTGATAATCTCCGCCTTTGATTAACAGAGAATACTTGCCAGAATATTATGTTTTGAGTGCTTTTTTCCCCACATAAGGTATACAACTGAATAGTTTTTAGTATTCATGGAGCCATGCAACTATCACTACCAGCTATCTACTTGTAATCCTCATGTAACCTAAACGTAAATCTACACTTTCATCACCCCCAAAAGACATCCTGTACCCATCAGCTATCATTCCTTATTGTACACCCCTGCCTCCACACAGTCCCAGACAACCTCTAATCTAGTTTCTGTCTCCATAGATTTCCTATTCTGACCCTTCCATATAAATGCAATAATAAAATATGTAGTCTTTTGTAATTACCTTCTTTCACTTACATTCTTTACAAATTCCATCTATGTTATAGCAAGTATCAGTGCTTCATTTTTTATTACCAAACAGTATTCTTTTTTATAGATATACCACATTTTGCTTATCCATTCATCAGTTGATAAACATTGGGTTCTTTCCACCTTTTGGCAACTATGAATAGCTGGGCTATAAAAATCTGTGTTTTTGTATACATATAGGTTAGAATTGCTGGGTAACATGGCGATTATATGTTTATGTTAAGGAACAGCCATACTGTTTTCCAAAATGGCTGCACAATTTCACATTCCCATCAGAATGTACAAGGGCTTCAATTTCTCCACATCCTAGTTAACACATGTTATTTTTCTTTTTGACTTCAGTCACCATAGTGTCAATTAGTATCTTAGTGTGCTATTTATTTGCATTAACCTAATGTATGATGATGTTAAGCATCTTTTCATGTGTTTACTGGCAATTTGTGTTTCATTTTTGGAGAAATGTCTGTTCAAATCCTTTATCCATTTAAAAAAATCATTATCTTTTTATTATTGAGTTGTAAATGTTCCTTTTATATTCTGGCTATATATCCCTTATCAAGTATAAGATTTATAAATATATTCTTACATTCTGTGGGTTGTTTTTTCACTGTTTTGCTGATATCATTTGTAACTCAGTTTTTAATTTTGATAAAATCCAACTTATGGTTTTTGTCACTTATATTTTTAATATATCTAAGAAACTAAGGTTTAATCCAAAGTCACAAAGATTTATGCCTGTGTTTTATTCTAAGAATTTCATAATCTTAGCTATTACATATATATCTATGATCCATTCTGAGTTAATTTTTGTATAGTGTCAGCAAGGGATCCAAATTTCATTTATTTGTTTGTTTGTACATGCTGGTCCCAGCACCACTTGTTAAAAAGACTATTCTTTCCCCCATGGAATTATCTTGGCACCTTTGTAGAAAACCAATTGGCAATTCAATGAAGTTTTTATTTCTGGAGTCTCAATTCTAATCCATTGACTAATATCCATCCTTATGCCAGTACCACGCTGTGTTAATTACTCTGTCACTGTAGTAAGTGTTGGTATTGGAGAGTCTGAATGCTCCACTTTTGCTCCTTTTAAAGACGGTTTTAAATGTTCTGGTTCCCCTACATTTCTATATGAATTTTAGTATCAGCATGTCAATTTGTGCAAGAAAAAAGGCCTCTGAGATTTTGAAAGAGTATTAAATCTACAGACCATATTGGGAAGCATTGGCATTTTATTATTTAGTCTTCTGAGCCATTAACAGGCACTATGTTTACATTTCTCTAGGTCTTTTTAAATTGATTTCAACAATAGTTTGTAGTTTTCAGAATGTAAATATTGCAATTATTTTGTTAAATTCCTAATTTTTATCTTTTAAACTACAATATAAATCAAACTCTATCTTAATTTAATCTTCAGATTTTTTATTGTTAATGTTTAGATACACAATTTTTTTGAATACCATTTATTCACAGCATTATTAAATTCATGTATTATTTTAAACAGTTTTTGGTGTAGATTTCTTAGAACTTTCTATACGCCAGATCATGTCACTGGCAAGCTCAGAAAATTTTACTGTTTCCTCTCTAATCTGGACATATTTTATTTATTTTTCTTGCCTAACTGTCCTGGTTAGAATTTCTAGTACAGTGTTAAATACCAGAAGTAAGAACAGATATCCTTATTTTGCTCTTGCTTTTATGGGGTTAGCTGTGGTTTTTTAATATGTGCTTTTTATGTGGTTTAGGAAGTTCTTTTTTAAATTTTTTTAATGTCTATTTATTTTTGTGAGAGACAGAGCATGAGCAGGGGTTGGGTGTGTGTGTGTGTGTGTGTGTGTGTGTGTGTGTGTACAGAATACAAAGCAGGCTCCAGACTCTGAGCCATTAGCACAGAGCCCAACAAG